AGTGAGCACAGTTCTGGGATCAGGTCTTTTTGTTCAGTCTTCCTAGCCTGCATGGCTATACTGTCAAAAAGTACACAAGAAAAAAGATGTATGTATCTGGATGAACTCTTGATCACAAAGTGGTGGAGGAATTCCACAATTCTAACAGTAAAACCAGCAATGAAAGAAATCATCTCTTGATGAGCCAATCAGTCCAAGTCTACCTGGTTTAAGGTTTCCCAAGGAATTAATGAGATTTGAGAATGCTAGCATTCAGYTTAATAGAATATTTGTCTGCACTTCCTAGACAGTCTTAAACTTGTGCTTAGTATTAGAAGTAGTTGTTTTTCATCTTTACAGTGGAAAAAGAAGGGGAAAAAAAGGCAATTTGAATATCAGTTCTTGTTGCCCACAGTACTTTTTTTTTTGTCCCGGTCATATGCGGTTAAACCTGTGCTTCTTGCTTTGCTTCAGACGCACCTTCTAGCAGCATGTGGGGAAGGTGCTGGAAAGAGCTAGCACTACTATGCGCACAGTTGGATTCCTGTGTCTAAGACTGATGCTATTTGTCTTTCCTTTCTTAAGCTAGTATTGAGTACTTTCCCCCCCACAATGCTTGTGTCAAACTTACAAATACTGCATAAGCTATACTTAAATGATATTCTTTGAATATTTTGGCATCTCTAAAGGTTACTCAGTTATACATCTCCTCCTTTTAAATCAATGTGCTAAATAAGCAAGTAGTTATATTTTATTCATTGAATTGTGCCTCTGAGACTTCTAATTTCTAGGAATGATCAGAACTACATTTGTACCTTTGAAACTGAGGTTTTCTGAGATTACCGAGTTTTGTAAAACTGAACAAAAGTTTTGCTTGTTTTACTAAAACACACATTTAAATTTTGTTCCTGTTCTTGGTGGTAGCCAAAGATATCTTCAAGACAGAAGAAAACAGTTTTCCTGATAAAAAATTTCTTTCTAGAAAGATTTTTCTTTTCTAGATAAGAGCATAAGCCAAAAATTTCAGATCAGTTCTCAACTTCCCATTTTCTTTAACAGCTTCTCAATTTCATATGTCTGTTAGTTTACATGTGAAGTCTGTTAATTTACGTGAAGTCTGTTAGTTTACATGTGGATCTCAATTCAGACCAGACAAAAGAAATTCAAGTGTTTATGTGGTTAAACAGGCTTAAAGAAAATGGAGTTTGGCTTTTTCTCAGTGTTGATCTATAAAGATGAAAGTATTTGACTTAATAAAAGAGCTTATCTTCCTATTGAACTGTCTGAAATCAAAGGAGCTTTTCTAAGATTAGGATTTAAATGAATGGAGCTCATCTCTAGCAAGAGTTCTAAAATCCAGGTGGTAAACTTTTCAAAGTGAAGATTTTTCCCAAGTAAAGTCCTGAGGATCCAGACACTCATTCTGATCTTGATGACTGTTTGGCTCTATGCTCAGTCCTCTGGACTTTTGAAGATCCTTCAGAATGAAAGGTGGGACATGGAATTTATGTTTCTTTTTATTTGTGGAGTGAAATCAAGCCCTATCCTCAGGTTCTGGAGTGTCTTTGCCTTGATAACTGTTACCTGAGACAGGAATCTGTATGCCAGGGGTATGGTCAGACATTAGTAGACAGAGGAGCTTTGCAACAAGAAAAATAGTGGTGGCAGGGGAGTAGGAGAAATTGCAAACATCCATTCGTTCCTTAAGAATTCAGCACACTGGGGAAGGAGCATGTGACGGATCAAATGTGTATGGTCTGAATCCTGTGGGATAGATGAGTGGATGGGGAGGTGGATTAGGAATTGGCTCAGTGGCAGGGTGCAGAGAGTCAGTGGCGCAGAGTCTAGTTGGAGACCTGTAGTTAGCGGTGTCCCCCAGGGGTTGGTCCTCGGTCCGGTCCTGTTCAACTTATTCATTAACAACCTAGATGAAGGCATGGAGTGCTCCCTCAGCAAGCACCAAACTGCTGATGATACCAAACTAGGAGGAGTAGCTGATAGCCCTGAGGGCTATGGTGCCATCCAGAGGGACCTGCACAGACTGGACGACTGGGGAGTTAGAAATCTCATGAAGTTCAACAAGAGCAAGTGCAGGGGCCTGCACTTGGGGAGGAATAACCCCGGACACCAGTAGAGATTAAGGGTTGACCTGCTGGAGAGCAGCCCCGCAGAGGGGACCTTGGCATCATGGTGGATGACAAGATGACCATGAGGCAGCGGTGTGCCCTAACGGCCAAGAAGGCCAACGGGATCCTGGGGTGCATTAAGAGTATCTCCAGCAGGTCGAGAGAGGTGATCGTCCCCCTATATACAGCCCTGGTAAGGCCACATCTGGAGTACTGTGTCCAGTCCTGAGCTCTCCAGTACAAGACGGATGTGGAGCTACTGGAGAGAGTCCAGTGCAGGGCTACGAGGATGATCGGGGGCTGGAACATCTGCCCTATGAACAAAGGCTGAAGGAGCTGGGCCTGTTCAGCCTGGAGAAGAGAAGGCTGAGGGGGGACCTGATCAGTGTGTATGAACATCTCAAGGGAGGCAATGAGGAGAAGGGGGCGGCCTCTTTTCAGTGGTGGACAGTGATAGGATTAGAGGAAACAGCCACAAACTGAGGCACCAAAAGTTCCACAGGAACTTGAGAAAATACTTCTTGACAGTGAGGGTGACAGAGAGCTGGAACAGGCTGCCCAGAGAGGTTGTGGAGTCTCCTTTGGAGACCTTTAAAACACGCTTGGATGCAGCCCTGTGCCATGTGCTCTAGGTGACCCTGCATGAGCAGGGGGGTTGGACTAGATGACCTCTGAGGTCTCTTCCAACCTTAAGCATTCTATGATTCTAAGAGAGAATGTGTTGTGTGAGAACAGAAGTAGTAGAGGAAGTCCGGATTCAGCACACTGGCAAAGGAGCAAATGTCTGCAGTTCTGCTCTGGAGAAAGAATAAATTCCTGCAGTGTGAGCATAGGCAAAAGAACGAATGTGCCTAAGTTATGCACTAGAGAAGGAGCTTACATTAGCAGTCTGCACACTGTTGAAAGAGCAAACATTCATGTTCTGTCAAATATAAATGGAGCAAAAGTCTGCGGACTGCACTCTGAAAAGCAGCAAAGATCTGTGTCCTGAGGACTTGAGAAATGCGAATAAGCGTGCTATGTACTTTCCAGAAGGGAAGAGTGAATCTCTGGCGTGTGTGGAGTGAATGTCTATGAATTCTACTGTGGAGAAGGAGAGAATGTGTGTTGTGTGAGAACAGGAGAAGCAGCCCATGTCCGGATTCAGCACACTGGGAAAGGAAAGAATGTCTTTGGCCTCTGCTCTGGGGAAGGAATAAATGCCTGTAGCGTGGGCACAAGAGGAGTGAATGTCTCTATTTAGAGCACTGGAAAAAGAGACAGCATGCTTCTGCTTTCATGAAGCAGCTTATTTTGGTTTCCTACTAACTCGTGAAAGAGCAAACAACCATGTCCTGGGGATTATAAACAGAACAAATATCTGAGAAGATTCTGATGAAGGATTACAGACTTGGGTCCTGAGGACTGGAGAAAGAAAGAAGGTAGGATTGAATCTCAAAGGTGTGCACATTAGAGACGAAGTGAATGTCCATGTGCTTTGCCTTGCAGGGCAAATCTCTGTGACTTCTGCTCTGGAGATGGAGTAAATGTCTGTGGTGTCAGTAAGAAGTAGCAGCAAATGTCTAATTTCAGGACACTGGGAAAGAAGCACATGTCCAAGTCTTCTGCTCTGGAGAAGGAGTGAATGTCTGTGGTGTAGTTGCAAAAGTCCAAATTCAGCACACTGGGGAAGAAACAAATGTCTGTGGCTTCTGTCCTGGAGATCACCACACTGCCAAGCATCATATAGACACACCAGGAAGGTAAGTCAAGGCTAGTGGGGCTCAGTGACTGCCCTGTTGCTTACCACTGCTGAGAAAGAGGCTCTTGCTGAGAAGCCACAAGGCTTGCTCTGGGGACTACTCTGACCAAAGACCAGCATGGATGAACACAAGTCTCTAAAAACAAAAACGAAGCACATAGAACGCAGCAGCCACATGGTAGAAGGGCATTAGGAAAGCTAAAGCTCAACTAAAGTTGAGACTAGCAAGGGAGGTGAAGGGCAACACTAAGCAGTTCTGTAAGAACATCCATTGCAAAAGTAGAGAGAGTGCAAATTGACTCTAATGGGAGTGAGGGAACCTAATCACAAGGAACAGAAGAAAATTTAAGGTACTTACGTGTTTTGTTTCAGTTTTCTCTAGGAGTGCTTGCTCTCAGACCTCACAGGTCCTCAACTCTCTTAGCAAAGCAGTATCCACAGTTGGGGACGATAGATTTAGGGACCCCTTAAGACAACTGGTTATATCTAAGTCTATGGTACTAGATGAGATTCCTCTAAGGATGCTGAAAGAGCCAAATGATATAATTGCACAGCCCCTCTCAGGCATCTATGAAAGGGTATGGCAGACATTGTCAAGAGTTAGAAGAAGCAGAATCCAGGAATTTAGAGGTCCATCTGCCTCACTCAGTCCTTGGGAAAGTTATGGAATGAAGAAAGTGACTGAGAGCTCCCAGCGTAAGAGCAGAGAGCCTGGTCTGGGTATAGATACCACACAAGTTTGACAACTGATTTCTTGGATAAATTTTTCTGGGTCACATCCCCTCCCTCAAGGATGTCCTGCTCTCACTTTGCACCTGAAGACACAATAGAGGACACACAGACTAGTGCTACAAGAAAACTATTTATTTTATAAACAACTTTTTCAACCTTTGTTCCTTTTTTTTTTTTCTGCAAAGATAAAGTAACATTTAAGCAGTTTCTGGGCACTTGTGTATTCCATGTATTTATACATTGAAAACAGCTCTGCAAACTTGCGCCATTCACAGTGGTCCTTCCAGCTTTACAGGATAGAAAGCAAAAACAACAAAATATGAAGTAAAAAAATGCTGGAGCACAAAACTGTCTCTTCAGCTAAACACGTGCACTGAGCTATGTGAATCAATAAGCTATGTGTTATTTCAAAGCAGCCCTCACCAGCTCCAGTGGTGAGGTTTTGCTTGAGTGTAAACACATCGCTTTACAGTGTTTCTTGCCACTAACTGGGTTTGAGAGTACCCTGACAGGACATGTGCCACTGCAATGGCCCTTGTGCCCTTGCAGACAGGATCCCAGAGAACACTTAACAGTCCTTTAACAGGCATCAAGTAGTCCTCAATTTGGAGCTGGGCTTTTTCTAGTTCAGTTAGATGACTGTATCTATGGATAGAAAGGCCCTTCAGGGTCAAGGGAGAAAGGAAATGAAATGGACTTCTGAGAGGTGACCAGAGTAACACAGCTCACATATCCAAAGCAATGCCTTCGCATGTTAAATCAGTCAGTAAGCAAGCAGTCCCCAAAGGAAATGTCTTCACTCTATCCGAGAACTCCCCTCAGTCTTTGAGAAGACATCCAAATACAAGCAGGGTGAGACAACCTCAATTCAGGGGTCTGGGCTGGCCAGCCTGAGGACAGCCCAGTTCTAGTCATAGACATCATCATCATCAAAGTAGGAATCATGATCAAGGTTATCTGACTCATTGTCAAACAGAAAATTGTCTTCATCAAGGTCGTCGTCATCATCATAGTCTTCCTGCCACTGTGGTTCACATTCCTCATCTTCATCCTCCTCTTCGTCTGTGTCAGGGGAGTCAGGTAAGACAACATGCCTTGGCCTATTCAGGAGGAGAGCATCAAAAAACAGGCCTTTCCCATTCCTAAACTGCAAGAAACAACGGTGGTCTAGTACCATAGAAACCTCACCCTCCCACCACTATAATTTCTCAAACTCCCCAGTCAAAGGCATGCCTGAGAAGAATGGCAGCTGCCCAAGGGGATCAGGCACAGTGGAACAGGAGACACACCAGTTGCCTTCCTTGGCTTCCTTGGTTTAAATCAGATACAGAATACACAGAAATGTTTCATCTGTTTTTAACTCTTAACCTTTCGGACACACAGAACTCTGCTGGCTCAGTGCTCTAGGACAGGATCAACAAATGACACAAGACGGTCACAGAGCAAAATTACCTCTCAAATCTGAGTTACCTTGTAATGGTGTCACCTCTTCCCCATTTCCTCCCTAACATGTTTTATATCACTGCATGCATGTTTTTATTCTTCTTGTTCTCATTTAGACACTGTCACATTTCTCCAAAGAAAGGGTGGGCCACTGCCTGCAGGAATCCAATACAGTCAGAGCAGAGTGTCTGTCCTCCATCCCTCTGTCACTGGCAGACCCAACTTTCTTCAATTATAATCACAAACTAGGCAGAGGTTTCACTTCCCTAACTGTACCGCTATGTCACTTACATTATAATATCGAACCTGAACACAGGAGGATGCAGGTAACTGGTTTTTAATATTTAACTCTTTGGCATATTAGTTATCATAAAATAAAAACTCTGCTTACCCGTTTTTCTTCATCTCTTACCACCTTTCCTTTAAGGAAACTCACCCTATAAAATCAGGGGCTTCTGCGGGCACATTTGAAATTTTCATCTTACTCTGACCAGAATCTGTCAAAGCCTGGAGTCCAACACAGAAATCCTGCCAGGGTGGAAGAAGAGCCAGAACAGAGTGGCAACATTGGATTTGGGGTACACTTGCTGCTGCAAAGCCCTCTCCTGCACACACAGATACTCAGGGCCCATACAGCATCTCAGAGTCTGTCCTCTTCATTGAGGAAGCTTCTTTTTAGGCTTGCCAACATCAAACCCCAAGATGAAACCACACCTGGACAAAACAAGCTACCAATATGAACGTGAACTTCACCTGTGTGGAGTGCCAGAGAATCGCAAAGAGACGCTCTTGGATGCGGTGCAATAATTCCAAGCCAGTGCTCAGATGCTCTGCTTTCAGGAGCTGCAGAGAGGAGGCCAGATCCTGACTCTGCAGCAGTGTTTCCTCTGAAATTCAAGGACAGCAAAGTCATACCCCTCCTCACGCTCATAAGCGGAAACCAAGTCCCTTAGCTCTGACTACAAAGCCCGAGTCACAACTATTTAGGTTCCTTGCGCACATATTCCGTTCAGGAGGGATCACGTTGAAGACCCTCCTTTCGGCATAAAATCACTGCCTGAAGCCAAATTGCTGCAGTGGACTCCCCAGAAATGACACCATGGAGCCAGGTATAGGCTAGAAGACATGAGCTAGCACCTACTCAGTGTTCATGTGCATCCTGTTGCCTCACTACAGTTACCCCACCTCTTCAACCAGACAGGAGGGACTGTCAGCTTCTACACAGAGAGGCTGTGGCTCTTACCCAGTAGGATCTGCAGAGTATTGGTGTGCAGCTCCAAGCTCTCAATCTGCTCTTCCATGATGTCCACCCTCTCGGTGTCCTGGCTGTAGTAGCTGTACACACAGGAGTAGGCCAACACCTGAAGCAGCGCAGAAGACACTCTAAGCATCCTCTTTCAGCTTTTGAGTGGGCAAGGGAAGTAGCTGAGAGCAGCATCAAAAGAATTTAGGGAGCATCAGTGACTGAGAGAAGCCTGGTCTATGGCAGTTTGAGGAAGTGACAACACTCTACTATCACATACGACTCCTGAAGCCCTCCAAGCCCACAGCAGGAACACAACCAACTGCTTCTATTTAAAGAAATGACTCCAGGAATGCCACCAGGAGCAGCAAGCAAAGGTGAGGTGCATCTTGGCAAAGGCAGGTGCTACCCTAATGAGAAGACGAAAGAGGGTCAGCCACCCCCAATCCATGTAGTGTGCATCTCTCCCAACATCAAACCTGCCCACACAAGCAAGATGTGCATTACAAAGGTGCATCCTCCTGCCTCCTTCTATGTTTTGAGAGGCAGCAAGATGTTGCAGGGCTATCCTGGCCCAGGCTTACTGCATGCACCAAGTGGCTGCACAGCTAATCATTCATAATGGGCTGTCAAGACCTGCACAGGTAATTCAGTGCTCCCATGACATCCAGGACTCATGAAGTGGAGAGAGAAAAAAAAAAAAAGTAAAGATCATAAAATGAGCATCAAGAGGGACTCCTTAGCTGTGACAAAATCCGAGGAGAGCTTTCTAAAGGTACCTGCCACCATTGAAACTTTTCAACATTGCAGTGGGTCTAACCCACTTCACAAAAAAAAGTAAGGTTATCCCTGTGCTGATTCCATAGACTTTACACGAGGGAGGCTCCAGTAAGACCTGGAGCTCACCCAACTGTGAGGAACATGGCAGAGAGAGCCCAGCTCAGGAGGACAGCAGGGAAAAGCAGACAATGGGCCTTTATTCTCCCTCGCTGCTATTTCTGTCACACCTTGCTAGTTCAGAGCAAGGTCTTCCTAGTAGCACCTACTTACTTTAGGAAGGCATATAGCACACCAACAGAATAAAGGCTAAACATTATCTGTAGATAACCATCCTTACCTTCCGCGCCTGTTCCAACACTTTGCAGGCATTGAGAACAAAGGTCAAAGTTCGAATTGCTGTCATCTCGCTGATGGAAGAAACACGGTTCTTCAGACTCACGGCCAACTCCTGCAACAATAACCACGGGTGAGAAAAGATCATTTGCAATGCTAGGAGGTTTGAAATACAGCATGTGTAACACAGGTAATCGCTAAGCACCTTAAAGCACCACCCCAGAAGACGCAGACAGGAGACACAGCCACAACATCTGTAACGTGCTTCTGTGTGTTCTTTACTTCAATCTTTTGCAGAATCAGAGCTCTAAACAGAGTACATTCTGCACAGTCTTCTTTAGTGTCTGCAACTGTCTCCCACTGCTGCACCAGTGTGAGCAGGCAGACCCCAGGAGCCTGGGCTGCGCTTGGCTCCCATAACAGAATAGAACAGGTCAAAAGTTTTATCGTAGGCCAGAACAAGGGTGATGTGCCCAGGCATCCCCATATGCATCTGGCAGACGGTGGGTGTGTTCTTACCCTTGCCTGATGGTGAAAGGTGCATCGCTCATTGTAATCTTGGAAACGTTTCTCCTGCCGAGCTGCTTTGCTCACCTGAATGGAAAGAGGAAAGTTACCTGTAACAAGTCCTCTCAGCTGCCAGGATCATCTGAGAGAAGGCTACACAAAGAGATCTTAACATGGCTGGCAAGATCACAGGCAGACAAACCAAGTAAAATCCACCTCAGGGGGCTCAAGTGGAGATCCTCACTCTATGCCTGAGAAGCTAGGTGAATCTGAGCACAAACATGAACCGCTGGGGTCCAGCAAACCACTCACCATAGCAGAGCAGTTGTAATAATCCTTATGGGTTGGCCTCCAGGGCTTGAGGCAATGCCAGCAGAAGCCATGATTACATTTGGCACACGTCATACTGCGCAGTGTGTGGTGGGGGGGAAGAACAGAAACCACCATTCAGTCCCAACAGCCACTTGCAAACAGTTGCCCTCAGCACTCCCCTGCGACACAGGGCTGGAATAAGCCAGCCCAGCAACCCCCACTCACTTGTACTACCCACCACCACATACGCTTTTTAAAACCTTTGTCTGGAAGCAAACAAAGGAGACAAACAGAACACTGTGTGTCCAAAAACGAGCAGGGATACCTGGCAGCACACCTGACAATACAGATCTACCAGGCACTGACGGGTGAGCTAAGCCTTGCCAGAGTTTGCAGCAAATCCACATGAACATCTCACCTCCTCCCTCAGCAGTGCAGCACTACACCACACAGCCCTGGGGACAAATGCAGTCTTAAGGCCATAAAAAGCACAACTGGGCACTTAGTGCTGAGCCACCTCAAGACAGAAACTGTTCTCTTGATGGCAGTTCGGGAGCCCTTGCCTTAAAGCTGGAGGGTGCTGGAGGTGCCTCCCTGGCCAAGGAAAGAGCTGCCCTAGACCCAACCCAATTTAAAACACATGCAGCTAATTAAAAAAAAAAATTATTGAAAGTTAGAGAAAGAAGAGAGAAAACAACAGCAGCAACATCAAAAAGTGCCTAGATGCCCACCACTAGCAGTTTGGTATGATCACTTATTCCTCTAGAGTTATTATCAGAATGTGCTATGTCTCTCCCCCTCAACAGCCAAAAAAAAAAAAAGCACACCTTCCTGCTCCCAGTACCAAACAAGAGTGGATACTCACTGCAGACAACCCTCGTTTTTCTCTATCTGAGCCTGGCAGCTTGGGCAGTGTTTGGAAATGAGTTTAGCCAGGTGTTTGCTTTGGGCTTCACTTGTCATTCCCTCGTAGTAGCCATCATCGTCCACCCACTGAGACATGTGGTTGCAGCTAGCAGGGTAATGTGCCTGAAAGAGCGAGCCACTCAGACTCACACAAACAGATATGTGCTGAACTCAAGGCAGCAATGCCCTTAAGACTTGGCTCAGCCTCACCTCTGGGAAACTGCAGCTAAAACAAGATATCCAGGAGCACTTGGAACAGGCTTCCCCATAGCCAAGCCCATCCTTACAAAGGATCTGATCGCAGCCTTGGGGGTTGGTGCACCATGTCAGGTTGGAGCAACATTCAACGTAGCCTCTGAGAACGGCTTTTTCATACTGCAAAGAGAAACCAGGGAAAGGATTTAAGGAGGAGAAGCACTATGGCTAGACCTTGCAACTGGGTCTACTACTTTTGGGACCTGCAGCTAATTCATTAACTG